ATAACGCCGCGTGTGGAGAAGAATTATGACTAGCATCTGAAAAGGGTAAACGTTGATATTTGCCCAAATGGCAAGAAATACAATCATGTTCAAAATTTGAAGAAATAGAAATAAGTTTCTGCTTGCGCAACAAACTAGCTTGATTCTAGTAACAATTAATATATGAAACAAAACTAGGGTTAAGCCCCACATATACATGAATTCTTCATCTCATTGATAAACAAATGAAAGGACACACATGTGAAGGTGATCGTAAAATATCCTAAACAATTTGAATTTGAATAAACCAATGGTAGTAACCACCTACAATAATGTAGTGCGGTCCTCTCAAAAACAAAAATTAGTGATGTGATGAGTTAAATTACAAAGTAATTGTTTTATAGGGTGAAAGTAGTTAAATATTATCGTAAGTGATTTAATTTGGAAACTACGTGATGGTTAACGGGAAGCACCCGTTAATGAGCACATTTGCACATGTTGAGTTGCATCGGCTGAAAGTTATTGAACAATCGTAACGTTTAGGCATTAACTTTGGTTTCCCTTTTTATATTAGTATATAGATACGCAGTAGAAAGCGTGGTCAGACTAGTACCGATATACTACTCCGTATGTAATACGAAGTATTAGCAATCGGGTAGAACAAATTGAGACTAATTATACGCATTATATATACATGTTATATGTGAACGGATGCAATAAGGATGAACAATCGATTACTGGCAAATAGATGTAGGGGTGTGTTGTATTAGGAATTAGTGGCAAAATTTTAAAAGTTCATGAATTTTAAAAGTTTAGGTGTATTCAATATGGACTTTTACAAGTCCACAAAAGTCTAGCTGTATTCAATGCAGACTTTTAAAAATCTATAAAAGTCTAGGCATATTCAAATTTCCGTTCATTCTTATTGACTTCGAAAATCATGGATTCTTGTGGACTTTTAACTCATTTTTAGTGCAAAAAATCTCTTCAATTGTCTCTTATCCAGTGTAGATTCTTATCATATCATGTACCTTAAATAATACGTAGTACTTTTTTGTATTTTTTTTAATATTGTGAATTTGTTTTTGTTTTTTTGGCATTGGCAATTTATTGAAACAATCACTTTTTGATGTAAGAAATATACTAGTAGCATTTACTTTAAAATATCATGTTAATGTTTGTAGTAATTTTGACCTAATATATGATTCAATAAGGCTATTGACACAAACAAAATCCGGTGGATGATGAACAATGGCTAACCCACAGTTGTTTCCACGCGCGAGATGATTACAATTTCCTAACTAAAATTTTAGAATTGAAGGTTCTTAGTTTGATTGTTAACTTTTACGTCCCTAATAGTCAAGAATTTGTATTTAAGTAAAAAAAAAACATGTATATTTGCTTGCCAGCTCATGCCATATTAGTATTAGAGTATTTTGAATAGGTTTGTTGAAAACCATTTGAATATATCAAATGGCGTCACAACTCACAAGTAATTTTTTAATTAGTGTGATACCCCATGTGAAAAAGTAGTTGTTAAATATACCCCACGGAAAAGTTTGGATGAACTAAATGCTATATTAACACATGGGCTACTCCTCCTATCAGGTTGATCTTTTAGGATGGAACCCCGAGTCTTAACATGGTATCAGAGCCAAATCGATCCATGGTGTGGGTCCCTCGTGAAAAAATGATGACACGATTATTAAAAAAAATGAAAATGACGAACCGACGAAAAAAAAGAATGATGGCACGATCCAGACAAAATGCCTGGTCGTGAGGAGGGGTGATAAAGTCTCACATCGGTAAATTGAAAAGCATTAGAGTGCTATATTAAGCTTCGGGCTACTTTTCCTAACAGTAGTTTTGATTACAAAACATTTAAACATATGAAATCAAAAATTACATGTTTAACAACAAATTCTGAAAATAGGGATTCCTGAAATAGCTCTTCTAATCGTCTTGAACAATAGAAGACTAAGCAGAATGCCGTCATCATCGTCACCGTATAGAATGAAGTCTCATCCAATGATCAGTTACGCTCTGGAGTAAGGTTGGTCCTGGTTTCCCCAACATTAATGCAAAGTAAAGAACGGAAAAAACCGTCACAGACCCGCAACCACACGTTCCACAGAGGAGGCTTATCTTCTTTGTTTGATCAGACATTCCTTTATGTATTATTACATACAGTAGAGCAAAGAATCCCACAAAAAATCCCAGCCTGCACACGCACACCATAAAATGAGAAGTATAGATATATAGATCGATGATTAATATTATAGCTAGCTATATATATTTCAACTTAGTTTACTCATTATTCAGTGTAGACGTGTAGTGCAACACGAATTCATAATTTTTGTACTTGGCTCAACGATCGAATTGTTGCACAAGTCGTATAAAAACAATCTTGGTTGTTAATTGAAATTGGATTGATCGAATTGTTGGATATGTTGTTAATAACTTGTAATGTAGATGGATCAAACAACTTCGGAGTTTAGACATGCATGCCACATTACATACACACTTCTATGCTATAATGTAGATGAATCAAACACAAAAATGAACAAATATGATATATATATATACAAGTATTTAAGAAGTGTATCTGTAGCGACCAATGATGAAACAATAGAAAATCACGCTTTAGTAATTAAACCTTTTGAGATGTCATGGAACTTTTAATTTGTTTGCATGTGTTTAAAGAAATTCACTAAATAGGATCGGAGTAAAACGTGATAGGAAGTATTATACGAAGTATTATATTAGAGAAGCTTTTATTATTTTGATCGTTTAATAAAGGGAAAAGGTGCAAATAGGTCCATGTATTAACAAAAAAAGGTTAAATAAGACCTTATTTAGGAGACTCTGTCCGGCCGTCGTCATTTGAGAAGGTTCCCGGTGGAATTTTTTGATGAAATTTTTTGAGCATCTTATTTATTAAGTCTAGTTTACTCATACTAAATTTCAACTAAAACTTCAATCCGGAAGGCATTCAAATGAATTCTTGAAGATAACTGCACTTCTACCTGCGCAGGTATTTTCAAGAATTCATTTGAATGCCTTCCCGGTTGAAGTTTAGCTTAAATTTGGTATGAGTAAACTAGACTTAATGAATAAGATGCTCAAAAATTTTCATCAAAAAATTCCAACGGGAACCACCCCAAATGGCGATGGCCGGACAGAGCCTCCTAAATAAGGGCTTATTTAACCTTTTTTGGTTAGTACATGGGCCTATTTGCACCTTTTCCCTTTAATAAATATGACTAAATAAATAATATTTTGGGTAGAAAACATGTGTAGTAGTGCAACTATTTTACAACATTTTTTATATTTTATTCTTATCTTGAACAATTTCTTATTTTTAATGTGTGACATAGCGAAATATCAAATATTTGGTCAAGTTATTATCACTTCTAGAATTGTTGATGAACGAAAAAAAAGGATGACACCCCATCTCTGAGGGTCCCCCAACACCGACCGGACGGCACGATTGGAGGATGTAAATTGGACTATAATCACAATCTGACAGATAGAGAGTGAGGCTCTGTCCCCGGTACTTGCAGAAGCCCTATGCATTTTTCAGCATAGTAACCCCTCATCGCAGTTGCTGAGATTCGAACCCGAGACCTAACCCTTGTGGCACTCCCTCGCTACCAGTTGAGCTACGCCCACCGGTGGATGAACAAAATTGTAATTGTGTATGCGGAATCCCCATATGCATATAAATTGAAAGTACGGAGTAAGACATTTCTTTTATATATGATGTGCATATATAATGTAACAAAGAGGAAAGTTCATGTCAGGACCTCCAAAAACGGACCTCCGTACGGACCTCGACGTTTGGGCCACTTCCCGGTAGAATTTTTTGATAAATTTTTTTTAGCATGTTCTTCATCAAGTTTTTTCATACCAAATTTCAGCTAAAAATTCCATCAGAAAGACAGTCAAATGATTTTTGGAAGTTAACTGCATTTTATATGTATATAAAGTTAATGAAGAATATGCTTAAAAAATTTCATCAAAAAATTCCACCGGGAAAGGGTCCAAACCGTCGGGGTCCGTACGTAGGTCCGTTTCCGGACGGTCCTAACAGGAAGACTACTCATGTAACAAATATATTTAATTGATATATATATATATATATATATATATATATATATTCCCTTTTTCCGGCTTGTAGTTAATTAAATGAAGGGAGTGTTTGTGATTGTTTCTTATTTGTTTAAAAAAGTATTTTTTTAAAATTGACTTTAGAGAAAGTGATTAATAGTAAAAGTTGATAATGACACATCCTATTTTAATTTTGTCTTTACTTATTTGAGTGTTTGCCTCCCTTGACTTTTCATTTTCAAAACTACTTACAGTGAAACACACATATGTATATATGTAGTAATCTATCATTATATAAAAGCAAAATGTTTGTGGGAATAGTGTTCCCCCCAAAATCTTTAGGATAGAAAGTGCATGACTGTAATTTACAATAATATCCCTGCTCAGGGGGATTGCACAATATTAATAGAAGATGGAAAATGTGAACAGTATCGATTTGATATTACATACTTGATTGACAATTCAATGAAAAGATATGTGGTGGCAATTTGCTCAAAGGAAAACAATGCCAGGGTGCTTTTTGTGATTGTAATGGCATCTTTTACTTTCCAAAGAAATTGGCAGCTGATATCTTTTTGGGCGGCTGGCCATATCAATATTACTGACTTTACAACCAAGGAATCATTACAAGTTTGAGCCTGTGAGATCAATAAAGTATTCTCATTACTTCATGAGGTAAAATAAAATTATAAAACAAATGCTAAATTTTACAGCACACAACCTTAGACATAACCTATTTCCTAGATATTATTATTAGGCCTACAATGAAGAGTGTTTGACAGCTCATTGTGGAATTTTTTTTTACTGAAAACATATACACACAAATATTATGTGTATAATTTGAATAAACAGTGCATCAAAGGTCTCCTATAAATAGACTCACTTGCACTCATATTCACCATTCAATTCTTCTTTCACTCCAACTAACTACTATATCCACTATAAAAATGGTTGGCATGTGGTCCTTAATAAGCGAGTTCCACCAATCTAAAACTACTTGGGCATTCAAAGCCCGAGCTGTTCGTGTCTATACCGTCCCTGCCCATGGCATTTACGGTGAATCTTTGCAGTGCATTTTCCATGACGCTGAGGTATTCACTTAACTGTCCAGATTATTTTCTAATACATTAAGTATGTTACTCTAATTACTAACAACTCTATATATAGGGAACAAAAATACATGCACACATTGCAAAATCAGAGGTTGCGAAGTTTGAGCACCTGTTTAGGGAAGGAAATGTTTATGCAATAAGAAAAGTCTTGGTGCTAGACAACTATATGAAGTTCAAGACAACAAGGAATGCTTTCAAGTTGTTATTCGTCAACCGAACTGATGCCTTTGAAATCTCTAACATTAATTTTCCAATGAGGATGTTTGACTTCACATCTATAGCTGCCTTAAAAGATGCTGAAGTTATAGACGAAACCTATGCCATAGGTGATTTTTTTAAAATGAAAATACATTTTCTTTTATTGAATGTTTAACCATACTTATTCATTAATTTATAATCACATATAAATTAATACATTAATTCATTCATAGATGTGATCGGCAAGGTAACTTCAATGTCAGACCCAAAGGACCTAACAAAGAATGGTAAACAAACGAGGTTGCTTGATCTTACCCTCGGTGATGCCAAGTACGTATTATGAATATATAAAAATAAACAGTTAGCTGTAATTTTCCTTTTTGACATGCTTATTATATTTGTAGTGGGAATACGATTGCCTGCACTCTCTGGGAGAACATGGTAGAAGAGTTCATGGATTTTCTTAAAACAAAACCGAAGTCAATCACTCTTATTCTTCAACGCTGCCGTGCTAAAAAATTCCAGGGTATGTTGTAAAATGAAATACAATATTCGATTGGTTTGTTCTTAACAGTGTATCTATTTAGGTCGGGTGGAGGTAACAAACATGTTCCATGTGACTAAGATGTTACTGAATAGCAACAGCGAGGAGTGTGCAGCTTTCAATTCCACGTAAGATTTTTTTTTTAGGGTTATCTTTGTTAACACAGAAAGCATTTCTGACATTAATCTATGCTATAATTAAATAACAGGTTCGGTCCAGATAATGATGACGGCGGGGATGCTCTAGCCTTAGCTACTTTTGTTACCCCTTCTTTTCAAGATGACCTAACTGCTGGAAAAGTTCAGTTGCTATCAATTGCAGATCTAATGAAAATGGAAGAGGTTGTTATATATCATACACTTTGTATTACAAAATTTCTTACCTTATTTGATAGATTATAGTCTGATTAGAAGTTACTATATACTTATAATAATAGGATGGAAAACACTGGATTTATGGAGAGATATTGACAATAGACAGCTACAGAGATTGGTACTACATATCTTGCAGAGGGTGCAGCAGAAAGGTGTGTCCTGAAGGTGACAATTTCAGTTGTGGTGTGTGCAACACCAAAGAAGTAGTTCTAAGGTGAGAACGTTTCCTTTTTCAGTTTTTTAAACTAACAGCCACATAGCATTTACAAAAAACTTTTCACATTTCAGGTACAAAATTAATGTTAGGGTGATGGATGAGACAGGTCATGCTTCTTTTGTGTTTTGGGACAAAGAATGCTTTACTTTGGTTGGAAAAACTGCAAGTACTCTTCATGAGGAGATTGAACAGGTTTTCTGGACGAGAGAGAAAGTATTTATTGCTTACATATCTAATAGATCTATATATATTAATAAGTTTAAAAAATGGTGGACTGTACAGAAAAATGTTGGACCGTATTATTTTCCAGTCGAGATTGATGCTATGGTTGAAACTAAGGGGTTGTTTCGAGTGCAAACAAAGAAGGAAAACAAATACTACAAGGGTGTTCCTACTTTTAGTGTAATTGGAATGAATTGTGATCCAACTGTTATCGCTTTATACAAGTATAAAGGAAAAGCAGTTGAGGAAGAAGATGATGCAGTTGAGGAAGAAGATGATTTCACACTACTTAGGAAGGAGTTTTCTGTGTCTGAAGAAGTATGTGTACTTATCATTTTACCTGTATGGTTTACCTTTGTGTTTAAAATTAGATATTTAAGTTCGATATTGATTTCAGGTCCTCATACCTGATGAGGAGGAGACCAGCCCCCTACTGTCAAAAGAAAAAAGGAAGGAACTTGTGGTGAACTACGACGGCATCAAAAGGAAGCTGTTTGTTGAGCCCCCGCCTGTCAAGCCACCAAAGAAGCTGAAGAAGGTGAAAATGGAAAAGGAGTAACGATGTTTGAACAATGAAGAACTTTTTGCTAATGAAGAACTTCAAGAACAATGAAGAACTTTTTGCTAAAATGAAGCATATCATGTATGCAGTATTTTCTATGTTTTTCTGTTAGTGCATTAGCATTTCAGAAAAATGTTTGCTGCCTGGAATAACTTAGGGATAAGTTTAGGTTATGTTACAAACTTTTGGAGTGGGTTATTTTCTAGATAATCTATTTTGATCCCAAGTTTGTAATTTTTGGCATTTGTTGCCAAGTGTGATGTAACCTATTCGGAATGTAATTATATGTAAATTACGTTCTATTTCCTTGGCTTTATATATTACAACTTGACCAAACTTGATGACTAGCTACACTAAACATGTAAAAATATTTGATGACTGCATGTATGCAACAATGTATAGAGACAAGTTGGATTAAATATAAGCATTATAAAATTAAAACAAAAAGTTATATAATAGCTGCCAGGAAAACATTAGGCATTTGACCCTTTTAGCTTCAAGTCCATGTTAAAGTGAGCTACACAATGCTTTTAATATAATTATTCTCTTGACATCCACAAAATATATATATATACCATCTCAATAAATGCAAGTGCATTGAATAAATACCACAAAATAAAGGAATGGATTTGCGTAAGTCATTTTTTGTGGTCAATATTCATCAACTATGCATGGGTGCATCACAAACCTATGTACCATCGAAATTCATCAAGTAGATTTACAAAACTGTATTCATACCTTGGTATGATGAATGGTGGGATGATTCAAAACCATACTCTGTAAAATTATACATTAAGCTTCATATCATAAAATATAAAACAAAGTACATTTCCAATTGTATAAGCATACATTGCATAGCCATATATGCATTAAGTCCATCACTAATATATTTTAAGTAGATAAAGTGCATAATTGCATAATAAAGATATAATTTTATCCGTTTGAGATACTTTATGTGGAAATATCACACATAGTAGTCTAAATTTATTTTGAATTCAGTGAAGGACATTTGTTAACTTTAAATCGTATCATGATAACCCTAATACGATTTCATAATTAGATTATGAATAATATTTAATTTTAAAAAAATAAATATTAATAGTAATTAATATTATTAAATTATTATTATTAATTTTTAACATAGTTGGCTGATTTTTGTTATTAATATTATTATATTTAATTATATATAATAAAAATATTTAATAATTTATAATATTTAAAAAATAGATAATAATTACATAATATTATATTTTAATTAAATATTAACGTTATTAATAATATTAATAATGATTAATAGTGTTAATAATTAATAATATTGGATTATTATTAATATTTAGTTATGAATAAATAAATATTAATAACAATTAATATTACTCAATGATTATTAATATTTAACGAGTCCTTATGAAGGAGAGGCTTTATAAATTCAAATATGTTTCATATTTGGCCTCATGAGTATAACTAATAATTAATAATAATGAAAATAATAATAATGATCAATTATTATTTAAGTATAAAAAATTTAAAAAATTAATATTAAAAAAATATTAATTTTTAAGTACAAATAGTTTTTTAAGTATAATAATTAATTAATTATTATTTAATTATAAAAAAATTAAGAAATTAATCTTTTTCATTTTTATTAAAAAATAAAAATTTGAAATGTCAACTACTATTACTGAATTAATATTAATATTTAACAGTATTAATACTTAAATTTATATTTATTAAACAATTTAAAAAATTAATTCTTTTATTATAAGTATATTATATGTTATTAGTAATGTATAAAATATTAAAAATAATTAATTATTTGTCCTGAGAATAATATCTTCCTTCTTCATAATTGACCTTATGAAGGAGTAATATTTAATTGTTATTAATGTTGAATGGCTATTAATATAAATAATATTAAATAAGAGTTCTGTTTATATTATTGAATAATATTATTTATTATTCACATACTCCGTATTATTAATTAAAAGTATATTGAAAGAACTATTATTATCATTGTTTAATTAGGTATTTATAATTTAAAAAGTGAAGTCCTTAAAATTTATTATTAATATTAATACTATTAATATATCTCTATTTGCAAAATAGAGATTTATTTTTGAAATATATTTAGTACATTTTGGATTTACGTTTTATATTTTAAACATATGTTGAAAACTAAAAAATCAAACGTATCTTAAAATGGTATACAGCTAAGGTATTCAGTTTACTGTTTGGTTAGATTTGGAAAAGCAGTTTTTGAGTTGTCATTATGAAAAGTCATCTTTTATAATCTTACTTTACCGGATGGGGTTGTGTGAAAAAACAGTAAGCATGCTGAAAGAGTACTCATTACCTGCTGTGTTTGTGTAAATTTAATTATGCAAAAACTGACACCAATTTAAAATGGTTTAGGAGTGTATAATGTATATATACGACCAATGTATATAATACTCAAAATGGTTTAGCATGTAGTATTTGTGATATTAGTTAAATGTCAATAATATGCATATTTTTTAATATAGGACCAGGTACACTTCATTCAAACCCATAGTCTCCTTATACTGATAATAAATAGTAAATGTGATTAAATCGAAATAGCTCAAAAAGCATTCAGTGATACATACAATTCAATGAAGTTACGGAGTAATATAAAATATACGAGTAATATATAAGTGGAAAAGACTTTTTGACAAAAGATATGACAAGTAACAAAAGGATCTCACTATTATAAAATGAGCCGTTTTTGCAGAAGTCTGACATGACATGTAACCTTTTGGGTTCTATTTACTTAATCAGAACGTGTGCAAGTGCATGCTCTAATATCATTGGTAATACTTTTAGATTATGTGCAAATAGACAGCCAATGAGAAAATAAACAGCCAATAAGAAAAGTACAATAATTACATTGTGTTAGCCATTGAGTTTGATTTGACTCAGAAAACCCCATTCAACACATGTGATATGACATGTTAAAAAAGTGATTTTACTTTTAAAAAGAGAGCCGTCTTGGCAGGAAAGATCAGATTTGACATGTGAGGGTGTGGTCTCAATTTACTTGGAATAGCACATACGGAGTAGTAAAGATTCTACTATAAATAAAGCATTTACCCTCTCACATTGTCATGCCTTGCAGATCAATTGATAGCCATACCAAAGAAGTATTGCTTTGAAGTTTGTTGTGTACCTACATCAGGTGAATTTTGTAGAAAAATTTATGACTATTTATTATTGATCACAAGTGCATCTAATGATAACTAACTTTTGGTTAAACTTTTTTCATGGAACATTCACTTAAATAAATGTTACCTACTACTTTGTTTGAAAATATAACAAATAACACATACATACCCAGTTTCTATCCAACTAAATATCCTTTTTTTGTGAAATTTCAGGTTCTAACAGATGGGAACAACAAATGCATATTTGTTTTGTGGTGTTTGTGGAAGCCGTGAATGGGGACACCTGATCATCAAGTGTGCAGTGTGCTCAAATGCAGAACACCGGTACTGTATGAGGAAGGTCCTATTTCATGATGATGCATGGTTGTGTGATGAGTGTTTAAGTTATATTTATCCCATGGATGAACTGAATTCCTTTGGGATGATAACCGAAATTAAGCATGAAGTTGTTCAAATGGAGGATGACCAACCATTTATACCTCATGTTAAGGAAGAGGTTGTTGAAATGGTTGATGTCCAACCATTTAGAACTAAGGTTAAAGAGGAAGTTGAAATGGCAGATATTGAGCCATTAACAACTCCTTTTGGAATGGCTGTTACCAATCCTGTGCCTGAAGAGCTCATCCAGGACTTATTTGGGATGGCAGTAAGCCCACCTACTCCCAGGCGTTCTCCCCGTAAGAAAAAGCTTAACCAAAAGTATTTTTCGCAGGAGATGGTGGTAAACATGAACTTTAATTGGCTGACTGGGGAGAACGAAGATTGATCTCAAGGGCCTAATGAACTGAAATATCTACTACTCTTAGTTTTTTGATAAGGCATGTTTCTGAAACAGCCTGTGCATAGCTTATGTTTTGGAATAACGTAAAGGGTGTGGCTTCTAATGTCTTTTGTCAATTTTCAGAACCCATTTCATGTATCATGTTTTGAAAATCTGTGTATGATGAGCCCTGAAGCTCCTGTTAACTATATGTTGTTTATTAATGCATGTATTGGTAATATTTGTGTATTGAAAAAGTTGATGTGTTACTTCATTCCTATGTGGCAAATTCCAGATAAAGAGAAACACGTGTCAAGGTCAAGTCCGTAACTATGCCTAAGCTCATTAAATCCACAACAGTAGGTCCAAAGAGAAGGCCTTTGTCAAACAATGCTTCCGGTAAATCTAATTTTACTGCTTGGTTGTAAATGAAGTATCAGTAACTCATATATATTCAATCAGATTTTAAAAGCGAGAATAAAAAATATACATAGTATAGGATTGTGCTTGTGACATGAAATATTAACTGATATTTGGTATGTCTGTCGGTGTGTATTAGAATAGTTTGGCTTTACAATTTAAAATATAGGGTGGACAATGTTTTTTAGGGACAACACTAATAATATAAAGTAGGTAAAAGATCAAGGCTTTGTAGCAGTAATAATAATATAAACCAACGTAAAGGATCAATGTTGCTACCCAATTAAAGAGTATCCTAGATTGCTCTCATTTGTTGTTGATGATGATAAGAGTAAAACTAGGGGAGAATTTACCCAATAGGCAGCCCTTCATTTCTGGTGTTAACTGGAACAACACTTCATAAGTCTCAAATTTGATCACCTAAAAAACCAAGAGTAAGTACCGAAATAACCATTTCTGTTGGGAGTATTTGTTAAGGTCTCCGGATCATAAGTTAGTGGAATTGATTATATAGATAGCAGATTACCAGAAATGCCCACAACAGATATGAATTATAGTATATAAAACATGCCGCATCACACAACACCTGCTATTTACATTCATCTTCTTCATTAAAACTTAAAACATGCGCTAGGCTTATGTTTTAAAAATAACTTCGGAATCGTGAGCTGTTTGATGGTTTAGGAAAATGAAAATAATATTTAATACACGTTGATTTGAAACACCTGTAATCTGTTTGAAGAATTTCAATTACAATATCTTGGAATATGACATTGGAAATGACTTAGATTGGTAAGACTAATAAGAAATATTGTATTGGAATAGATTATATAGAAACCAGATTAGCATAAACTGTTGAGAGAAGATAAGAATGATAGAATATAGAAATTCCAATAGAAAAGAACACATGGTATTTAAACCGTTTTTCAATTACATATTAAAAGATGGATTCCGGGCTTGAGTTCTGAAATGAACTTAAAAGGAGGTAGGTAATTAATAGCTTAAAAATGAAAACATA